TACATAGTACGCATAATTTTTTTTTTTTTTTTTTTTATATTAACGTTTTTGTTACAAATTGTTTGTTCTTTTGTGTAGACTTGTTTTTTCCATACATATAAAGTCAATAACACATTATACTTGTAACATATACCTACTATGGAACTGAAACAGACCCCCAATTTTTTCTTTATTTTAAGTTTTAATCTTGAGCAATCTGTTTCATAACATTACATAATATCAACCAATAAATGAATACAATAATATAAGAAAGAAGAAAATATTACATTTTTAACAAAATTAAGAATCCTCCAAAAGAAATAACTCTTATCCTCTATTTTTTGAAAATATTTGTTTTATTTAATGAAAGGTGGTTCATAACATTTACTTATTTCTGTGATAAAACGGAAAATGAGGAATATTTGTCACTTTTACAAAGAAATTAAAAACAATAATTGAATATTGGCTTTTAGTACGTCGTGCTTACAGCATTATTCAGTTTGAAAAAAAAATGTCTTTATTTTATTTAAGCAAATGTTGAAATTAACTTGATTAAAAATAGCAAAATATTACGTTCATTTATCACTAGTAAAATGTTTCAATTTCTAATATATTAAAAAATACATTTAAATGTGTACAGAATTCATTTTTATAAAACAATAATTTAAAGGAAAAAATATATTATCACCGTACATTTGAGACAAAAAGAAAATTCATAAAGAACTATTGATATTACATTTCTCAAGATTTATTAATAAAAGGAGAGAGAATATTTGACAGTAAATTTTACCGTTGTTAGTAAGTTTCTTACTCTCCTCTTATTACAATTATTACAGTAACATAATATATATTAAATTTTAATAAATATAATTTTTATGACATACCTCTATTATTTAAAAATAGTTTAAATTTTAATTTATAAAGGTAAATATATCGATTTCTTATTTTTTAAGACATTATAAAAAATTATTTATTTGGGATTAATAATTATTTCTTTATGGATCGCCAACAATGTTAATCGTTCTAAAAAATAACATTAAATCAACAAAAATTTAAAAATAAGTTATAACAAATTTACTCTTTCTTTAAGACATTGGGAAAATATTAGATAACATTTTAGTATTTTAAAAATCGATGTGGATACCGTTGTAATGCACAATATCTCAAATAATTGATAAATTATAAAATTAATACATAAACTTAGAGCATTTATGGCTATGATAGAAAATATATAAATTGATTTCAATTATAATTACCAGAAATGTTTGGCTCAGCAAAAATTTTGGCTTAAATATTAACTGAATTTGAGTAAAATGTAACACGTTCTTTAAATTATGGATATTCAATAAAAAAATATAATGAATAAAAAATGATTTATAAATGATTTCAGATTACATATTATTATTATTTGTTATTTACAGTCTCCCCACGATAAAACACTTATATCAAAAATCCATGTTCACAAGAGAACTTCTTTGCTATATATCTTCCTTCACATTAAAATGCCCATAAGATATCTGATATATGATATAAGTTCTCACAGAGTTCAACTATCAAAATATGCTCAACTATTACGCTACCGTTTTATTACTCCTGTGCAATAAATGTTTTTAATTAATGATTATTTATAGTTAACAATACTGTACCAACTAATTTACTTAAACGGCAATAACGCATAAATTAAATACGTTGATTTACGTTATCTACAGTAATAATACAGCTATACTATGAAATATTATTTTCTCTGGAGACTTGTAAAATAATGAAAGACAGTTGGGATACCATAATTTATAAAACAAATATGCACAGGTTATATGTGTATATGTATATACATATATAATATATATATATATATATATATATATTATATATACATATGTGTACTTCTTATACACGTTTGTATGTTACTGGACTATTCCTAAACAGTTGGTTCAATTTTGATGACTTTTTTTATGTTTGAGTAAGTTCTTGAATGGTTAATATTTACAATTAGATCAGGAAGGTGGCACTGCAATCTGTTTCTAGGAAATTTCTACATGAATATGTCTTGAATAACATTCTATTAACTTGCTACGTAGTGTGCTCATTCATTAAAAAAAAATCGGATGATGATCGGATGAGTGGTTTCCGAGATCATTGGAATCTAAAATTTACACATTTGATGTTTAAGATATATTCATATCATTATTTTCTAAAGGTTAATTGCAGCGCCTCCTAATGTGATCCTGGGACCCACTCAAACATACACAAACAATTTCATAAAAATCAGTCCAGCCGATTAGGAGTTCAGTGGTATATAGTATGTATACAGAAAAATTATATGTATATAATAGTATATACAAAGATAAAATTATTATTGAAAAAAAAACATAATAATTCCACTTTTTGTCCTGTTAAAATATTATGGTGGCCTAATATCGATCACACAAATTGACGACAAACTGTATTTTACTTTACAGACTTTTACTGTGGCATCTTGAACTTAGCTAGAATTAATGTTTAAACATAGGTCTCAATACATAAGTACTAAACAAAAGCGTACAATTTACATTTTCTTGGAAAGCGCTTTGTATCATGTATATCATTTGCATGTTTATATGTTATTACGTCTGTACGTTAAAACAACACAAATAGTATGATAATCCAGTGTAAACATATACATTTATAAGTATAGGCAGAAGGTATATTATTATTATTATTATTATTATATTATTTCGTACGTGGTAATTTGTTACGGGTACTTAATTTTATAGCTTTTATCATTTCGAATGGTGTTTTTATTTTTAACATAATATGATTTATAAAAATCCCGTCTGTAAAATAAATTTGTATGGCTCTTTAAATAAATGCCCAAATTGAGTCTGAAATTGTGTTCAGTTGTGCTTTAATATTTTATAGATGAACTACTGTATCATTCACTCTACTCTATTCCGTTAATTTTAAAAAGTTCATTCTTTTTCGATTGAAAATACTTGTTGTTGTCAATCTAAAAATGATTTTTATTTTCCAAGACAGGCGAAATCAACTCAATATTTTCTTTAAGTTGGAATGGTAGAAATATTATTATAGTTACAAAATATAAACAATCGATTTTTGAAATTTTATGGATATTGTAATGTTTTTCAACCACGTAGTACGTATGTTCTATGTATTTATAGCGTCACTGAAAATATACAGACCCCCTTAAGAGCCTTTATAAAACTGGAATCGTACTTTTTCAAAAATGTTTCACCAACATCCTTTATCAAACATACTCACAACGATTTTGTATATTACCGTTTTATCCTCTTGAGAGGATCTTTCATTCTAATGCATGTCATGTTTGCTGAATTTTCGTAAGTTTCGAATTTTTAGATTTTGCTACTCAAAAAACTACAAGCCCCAAGATACCAATATAATATAATTGATTTGTTTCTATTTTTGTGGTTTTTACTTAAATTATGTTTTATTTCTCTTTCATCTGGAAAATGTATTGATAAACATAACGTAAACAATTTATTTTAAATACCATACGCCCGTGTTTATTAACACCTATCTAATAACATAAATACATTTTATTATTATGTATAAACATATACATTACATACATATAAATGTATTATTATTTAATGTAAATATTTTATTGTAATTAAAAAATTATAGATCTACGTATTATTGTGTGCATGTATATTCGTGTCATGATAACCACATAAATAAGACAAAGATTTAAATATATTCACATTTCTAATCGTTATATTTTGGACTTGAGATTTGACATCACGTGATGGTGTGGTAAAAAGAGTTATGGTTACAAATTAGTGTGGTCAAATAGTATAATATTTGTCTATTAAATATTTTTTTTACGTGATTTCATTGTAATTTATAAAAGAAAAGAAAAAATTTAATACGAGTATGTACTACTAATTTTTATTGTTTTGAATATTCGAAATATTTCGATACATAAATATCGAATTCCGGATGATTACTTTATGAGTTATACATATTTAAAGCTTAGGTGAGCAGATTGGAATGGCACATGAGTCGTAAAATGTTGGTCCATTACTCCTCTATCTAAATTTTATACACCAATAGCTCTCAAATTGTTCAAGATCTATTTTTTAGAATTAGAAATATTCCGAGTAATATTCTTCTTCAAAATAATTTTTTTTAGAAAATAATATTTGTTTTTATTATTATTATTATTATTATTATTATTATTTCTAACTAGAGAATCTAAAAATAAATTAATCATTTTTGATATAATGAAGAGTGGTTCATAGTATAAATCAGTGTTTTCCAAAGACTGTGCCACAAAAACTTGAACCTTATATATATATAAACTACTTATAGTTGGAAAATAAATAATATTTATCCTACGTGTCCCGTAACTTATAACAAGTAATAATAATGTATCGTGACGGGAAAAAAAGTTTGGGAACCACTGAAGTAAATAAATAATAACCATGTATATGACAAAATTATACATATAAATTCATGTATTTAAAATTTTTACAATTAATAAGTATTATTTTTATGATATTAATATTTTTAAACTGTGTTAGAAATACATACATTTAAATGATATTTAAATCGGACAACTATTAATATTTAAATAGTATATTTTATGTGATCGTGAACTTCCTATTAAACCCTCCACCACAAGTTATTAGCTTATCGGAAGGTCACAAATATTAGAAAATCTCACTTTATCCTAAGTTTATTTTGTTTTATCTATATATTATAATTTATGTTATATTGTTATTGTGTCCAACACCGATAATTATTATTATAAAAATATCATTATTACCATTCCGTGTGGCACACAAACGGACTCGTTTATCATAATTTTAATTTTTCACTTCCACTTCCGGCACAAATTACACTTCTATTTATCACACACACACACACACATACGTGATACATAATATACTTGTAATATATCACGCGTGCATGTAATTTTAAATTAATATGTCAACTGACGATACAGCTACTTATGATTATAATATGCCGTCCGTTTTATAAATAGTTCTTGCGTTCTACGCTCGCTCCGTCCATTTTTTCCCTTTTGGAAAACGTTAATTTTCGTATACCTATCTATTGTAGTGTTTGAGACATTTTTTTTTTCACCGTCTTCTTCTTCGTCGCCCGCGTGGCGCGCGTATCATCGTCACCGTCTCGATTCGGCGCCGCCACCGCACCGCTGCCGACGCCGAAGTCGTATTCCGGGTGACGATTCGTTGCGCGGCGCACGTGCGAATATACTGTTGTGGCGACTTGACGGCGGTTTCAGCGGTGACCATAGTAATATAGGCTCCCGCGCGAAGTTTAGGCACCTCATATTTAATACCATTATTGTCGTAGCTGCTGTCGTCGTAATAATTACGACTTAAATTTTCGTTCGTCGAATCACTCCTGTCCACAAATATAATAATATACTCTTGACCGTTTTAATCGTTTTTGTTGTTGTTGTTGTTGTTTTTTTTTAATTGTTCTTGTTATTGTTGTTGTGTTACGGGTGCAGTAATTTTTGGCGTACGTCACAAAGACCACCGGTAAAGCTCTTTTAATAAATCATGTGAGTACTTTATGATATATCAGTTATTAATTATTGTATTATATTATAAAGTTTTACACAAATTGATTTTAAAAATTACCTATAAGCATTGGAGTATTATAATTTTTAAACGTTCTTATGTAGTTTAAAGTAGTTATAATTGCTATAATTACCTCACATTTTTAAGATGTTTAACAAAATTCTCATGTTAATATAGTAAACATACAGACTTTTGTAAAAAAAAAAAAAGCAGAAGACTCGGTCTGATGTATAGTTTCAAGTGTACTTCGTTATCTAGTGTAATGAATGTGAAAAAACTGAATTCAATGGTAAATAGTTTTATACAAAAAAAATATTCTAAATGAAGGGATGGATTAGAATTTATTTTTTAAGATGTTTATGTTATGATATAATAAATTTATAGTTCTATTATTATTATTATTATTGTTATTATCAATATTATTTTTATTTGTGTACTCTCGATTTTGTAGATTGTAATAATTGTTTCAAAAATATTGCATTTTATTACTTCTTATTTTCTTATTTTATCATAAAACAAGACAATTTAAATATTAATAAAAACCATGATTCAGCAATCAATAAATTTGATATGTATTATAAGTACATTATAGCATGAACAAAAGGATAAGAAAATCATCTATTAATAACACGCCTCTTAGGCATACAGAATTTATAAAGTTAAAAATCAATGTTGACGTACCGTAAAATGTTGTAAATAGGTTTATAGTATAAATAGCTTATGACTAGATTAAATATTTTAAAATTTCGTTGTGTATAGCCGTAGAAAATTGAATTTTTCAACTTCTTAAAAATTTGATCGAAAAAAAATTTTTTTTTTATCACCTAATTATTTTTATCGACATTTTAATTTCAGGCGTTTGTATAAACAAAATTATGACAAAAGAATTTAGATATTTTTAATTTTAATATGAATAATTAATGAGAAATATATAAACATTGCATTTTAAACTTTAACCAAGAAACAAGTTTATCATTATCAATCAAAATTTATTTATTTTTTTTAATTTCTATAAATAACTCAAACCACATCAATTTTATTTTTTAAACGTTATCACTTCTATACTATAGACACATTAAGAAGTAACCATGATGATAATTTTTGCATAGGTATGTGGCTTTACTACAGTACACAGTAAGCAGACACATAGTTATAACTCAATGTTGATTGATAACTGAGTGTCATCTAAGCGTCGTCCGATAGAAACTGGTCGTCACAGAAGTGTTTTCTTAGCGTTAATTGATTATACAAATACTATCATATAAAAATGTTAAATTTCTACATTTTTTTTTCATATTTTCTCAAAAACTGTTGGTAAAAATTCTCATTTTCCATTGTTTTTAATTTGTGTATCCCAGTTATTTAAAAATACAGACATTTTTCTATTTATTACTTCATTACATAGTATATATAATAACTAATAAAATAGTAATAATAAATTGTTTGTTATAAATGTTTATCTTATAAAATGTAATATTTAACGTATAATATTAAGTTGTTCTACGTATAAATTGTAAAATTCCATACGTCATGTTATTTTAATCACTTTAGATACTTTCCATGCTAAACAAATTTGTGTGACTTTGTAAATCTAAACATTCTAAACTAGTAGTGTAACTATCAACTTAAGTCAAATTGTTTCAATAAATAATAATTATTATGTCAATTTGTTATCATCGAAATTTCTCTTTTACTCCACGACAATGAAAAATGACTTTATTTTTGTATTTCTAAACATAGTACCACTTTATTAGCTATATCTATATTATAACCATTATATTGCAAGAAAAAAAAAACTGATAATAAACTTTACAAATAATTTATCATCATAATAAGTTATGTATATTATAATATGTAAACAAGTCACAATTTAAATATATATATATATATATATATATATTTATTTTTTTTAATTATTCAACATAATGTCAAACAACGATGAATGATCATTTTTTTTTCAGCCATTGAAGCTAAATGAATCCCTGCATAATAAATTATAATTGATTTTATAAAATGTATTTAATAAATTAGTTTAATTTGCTATAAAACAAATTCAAGAATACAAATCACAGTATTTTAATCAAGTAAATTATCAATAATAAATGAGATGATTTGTTTAGGTTTATATGTGTATCAACATAAACATTTTTTAATTATTATTTATTTTTATTTTTATTTTTTAGATACTGTAATTTTACAACTGTAAATTATTATATTAAACCATTTTATTATTTGACATATTTTATGATATTATGTAAATTTCACATACATATTATAAAGAGCTCTTTTAAATTAAATTAAATTATACCAAATAATTTTGACCAGCAGTTTTTATTTTTCAAACGGTCATCTAACAGCTTTGTTGAATGTTCCATCCAATGAATAACAGCTATTGTTGTAATGAAATATATATATATATATATATTTTTTTTTAACTCTTTCTATCATAAGGTCTCAAATTAAAATGTGGTTTGGACTTCGATATTTTTTGATTCATAATAGTTTAAACAATATAATAATTATTTTGAGTGTGATCGTTTGTATACTAAGTCGATAATGAAAATTTAATTATGTATATATTTATAGATCATATTTTTATTTAGAGAAAATATTAATTTCAATAGAATACTAAGAAGTTGTCAATTTTTCCTTAAATTATTAGCATCATTGATACGTATTCAAAATTCAGCAGAATTTCTAATTAATCAGAAAACATTTTTTTTTTTTTATCTATTACAAAAGTTATATTTAGCAATAACTATAGAAAATAGAATAATTTTCCACTCATTTTTATTTTTAAATATGTTTATAAAACGTTTTCTATTTTACACACTATAATTAAAGAATTTGGAATATCTAGCTAGAATAATAAAGAACTTTGTGTATAATATTACTTACAAGATGCGTTTTAAAGATTTTTGCATAAAATTCTTTTGCTAATAAAGATTTCCACACCTTATTCAGTATTAATGTATTAATGCATACGGTGCGAAAATATATTTCTACTGGCCTGTCTTTCTTTTGTTGTCATTTTTTCTCGGCGATGTGTTATTTTTTATTGGCTTAAAATCGAATTTTCAACATTTTCTTAGTTAATTTTTTATAATTTATTCATTTTTTGTTTACTACTCAACACATCATATTTCCGTGAAATATTAGTTTCGTATTTTAATAGAAACTCATCGTACGTTGCAGTGGCGTATTTAGGTTTTTGTTATGAGAGGATATGACTTTATAAATAAAGATACCAATGCGAATTTATTATAATATTTTAATTCTTGCAAATTTAATCAATTATTGAAAAAAAAATAAAAATATTAATATTTTTTTAAATAATATGATGACTATAATTATTTGTGTGTATACACCCTATGGGGAGGGGGGATTTATTCTCTTGATCCCCCCATAAATACGCCACTGGTACATTGCGTCTTTTAAATATTTTTATACTATGTAAAAATATATATTTATTTATTTCAACATAAATTAGCATTACAATGAAGAAGTAGGTAGGTGAATTTATGTATTTGTATTTACTAAATTATTTTATATTATTAAGTAAAAACTAAATTTAGTAAAATACAGTTATTTTAGTGTGAAATATTTGAATATAAAGTAGATGGTAATCATTGTTATTTTCATACTATTATGTTGAAGAACATGCATTTTTAATACATATAATATATATATATATAGGTATATTTGCATAAAATATCTCTTAGAACAATAAAATTGTGATGAAGAAAGGTGGTGTTTGTGAGTTAAACATTAATACTTCAAAACTATAATTTTTTGTATAGCTTTTTTAGTTCACTATATACCTATAGATGTTTCATGAATGCTGTCATGACCATTGGGTCATTAAAGTATATATAAAAAAATAAAATAGAAATATCGTCCAACTATTTTTTGATAATAAAATATCGTGTAATATATACCTTCTTAAGTGGTTCTTGAAATATGACGTTGAGGCACTTTTAATAGTTTCTAGAATATCCAATATATGGTTTTTTTTTTTTTAATAATAAGAATAGTAATTCAATAACACTTTTATTTTTTTCGTTAACACGTTTTCTTTGTTTCAATGTAGGAATCGATACGACATAGCTATGACTATTCGTGGAAAAACATAAAATGTTATCGATAAATTCGTTTAATAAACATATTATATTATGGTTTATCCTTTAAATATCTTCTTGGCCACCGTATCCCGATGGAAGTTGTATTATAAATTATATATGTCTAATAAATTTATATTATATCGGTACTATACGATCACTGTTTTTAGTTGCTATGTGTATTTTACGTATACGTATACGAATATATATATATATATTTTTTTTTTGTAAAAAGACAGTGTGTGAAACGTAAAACATATTACATTTAAATAATATTTATGTGCCAAAAAAATTTTAAGTACTTGAAGCGTTAAATAGGTTTTACATATTTTTTTTTTTTTTTATGATGTTATAGAAGCAACGGATGGAAGTGACCGTATGGCAAATGGGTAATACCTTAATGATAAAAACACAAAAATATAATACATAAACAAACGGGCGCGGATGAGTAAATGCCACTTTTCGACAAACTTTTATTAACGTTTATTAATTCTACGCCGAGAAAGAATTAAAAACCATATAATGGTACCATAAAACAATGGTGGTAGTAATCTGAGCGATGGAAAAATATCACACAAAAATTTAATTTATAGGTAGCTAGTAGGTACACAAGGTATACTAATAAGTATTAATCTCAGTTTCAATCTCGAAAAGTTCATTGGAAATGTTGATTGCTTTCCCTTCCCTCTTCTTTGAAATTAGGCATTGATTGTTTTTTACTTCAATTTATATATAATAATACAATTGTAAAATCATCATAAAATATAATTAAATTTAATAATATAAGTATAAAAAAAATATCCTAATACAACTATTAATGCGTATAAAGTGTAGGAGTTGTATACATATCAATAATTATTATA